ATACTGCTGCTGTAATGACATCTGCACATACTGAGGGCTTAATTAACAGAAGAACCAGATTCATTACTGTGACACATTCTCTAAATTACAGATCGAGTCCTGACTTTGTTAAAACTGGAAACCAGTTACTGCATGTACCACTGGTTTTTGGTAACGATTATGGAATACAATAATATTATTTGAATATATTCAAATATTATAAAACTGTTAAAATTGTGTCTGCAATCATAAATCCTAAATATAAACTTAATAATCCTCTAACACTGGAAGCATGAAACATGCAATTAAGATACTAATTATGGACGATAATAATAATCCAGTTCATATCATATTACAGCTTTGCTACAGTAGGCTATCTGCAATGCCATAAAAAACCTGAAGTTTATGGGTCAGAAAGAAAAGACTGCAGCCTATTCTTTTTGTTTAATGAGGACCAGTGGACACCTGGGCCAATCATTGCTCAGCAAATATTCCCTTAGCAACTCCAGCAAGCCAAACAATGCACATTTGAACATTAAATGCAATGCATGAATGTAATAAATTATAAACAAAAAAATAATTGTAATTTTCAAAAAATTCACTAAATCTAAAATCTATCTGTAACTGTAATATTCAAAGAGCAGAAAGAAAAGACTGCAGCCTATTCTTTTTGTTTAATGAGGACCAGTGGACACCTGGGCCAATCATTGCTCAGCAAATATTCCCTTAGCAACTCCAGCAAGCCAAACAATGCACATTTGAACATTAAATGCAATGCATGAATGTAATAAATTATAAATAAAAAAATAATTGTAATTTTCAAAAAATTCACTAAATCTAAAATCTATCTGTAATGTTATCTGTAATATTCAAAGAGCAGAGAGGTGTATTCCTGGTTTACACTTGAGATCCGCAGAGCGAAGCCCTGCAACATATACTGCATTTATTCAACTTCCTAAAATATAAATAAATTCCGTTTGTGCCTCAAAACAGGCTGTTTCCAAATACCCTACACTTAAGCCAGTAGCTTTGCATTAATAAACATAAACCAGCAAAAACAGTATAAAACAATCACGCAGTGTAAATGTCACGCACCAGTTGCCAGAGCCGATAATGCAGAGTTTCTTGGCCGCCAATACAGCGCGTCTGACCCGGCTGGAGGACTTCGGTGTCTATGAGAGCCGCTGACGGACCGGAGACAACCCTGTGGGCGCGCTCACTCCCCTTAACGCACATTGGCTGATTTCTTCTCATACATGAGCGTTGCTCAAGACAGTACTGTACTGACGATAATTTCTTATTCTTAGAAACTCATGATTCGTACTGTATTTAGGTTGCGAATTATGTGGGATTTAACTGCCTTTAAGACTCGAAACCACGAAGGTGCCATTTCTGTAGGCAAGAGAAGTGTCAATAGCATTTTTAAACATAGCTATCACAAAAGCACGGTTAAATACGCGACCTTGCGTATTTCACACAAAACAGGCGCTCACGAGACTCCTGAGGTAAACATATAGCTCGACGAAATGGAAGTAGGATAGACATATTATTAATAATAATTGTTTTATTTGAATGAAATAGAAATGCAGACCCAAAACATGTTTGTGCTAAGGGGCAGTCGTGGGGGCTCTCTTCCACCTTCAATACCACGACTGAGGTGAGACCCTTGAGCAAGGCACCGAACCCCCAACTGCTCCCCGGGCGCCGCAGCATTGGCTGCCCACTGCTCCGGGTGTGTGTTCACGTGTGTGTGCACTTGGATTGTGCAGAGCACAAATTCCGAGTATGGGTCACCATACTTGGCCACAAGTCACCTCCTTTCCTTTCCTAAAATCTTTCATAAAGTTCAGTTGGCATTTAGGCGCCAAACAGCATTTGCCTCACAGATGATTAGAGTTTGAATAGCCTCGACAGATGAAATTTGATGAATTATTAAAAGTATTCAAATTATATTTTGATTAAAAGGTCTTTACAATAAGTTTACATTTGGTTAAGTACAGCCAACTTTTGAGTTCAAGTTGGAGCTGGTTGGGGGTATTTTTTTTTTTTACATTTTTTTTTATTCACTTCAGTACATTTTCAATAGGCTATTCTTATTACAAAAATCCAAACTGATCAAACTCGAGCTTTCAAAACCAGATATCATGCTTTCATTAGGCTACACATGTAGGCCTACACATCATCAGTCCACATAATCATTCTTTCAAAATACAAGATTATTGTAATATGTACCGAGAACATTTGAAACACTGAAACACAGCAGAACATTCTGAATCAAACAACAGTTCATTCAAAGAAAAAAAGCAAGATACTTGTTGCAAATCACCCTTGTTGCTGAAATAGTTACAGTAACAGACTACAGATGATACATTAGAAAATAGACTTACATTATCTTATGTAATTTAGTTTTTTTTTGTATGCAATTTGTTTGTAATGGCAGTGTGTCATCAAAAGTTGTGAAGTATGACACGGCCATGAGGTTTTGTGCTAGAACATGTAAAATAACTGCTGCAGTGCTACAAACCTAATAACTTTTCACCACATCAAGAATAGCAATGAACAGTGAGAGAATTACTTTTACAATTTCAAAAAGCATTTTGAAACCAAAATTCAAATATTTTCCTATTAATCCATTACTCTGCATTTACAATGCGTAATGCACAAAATCTCCCTTCCACTGCTATAGTTATCATTATGCCACTGCAATTCGGAAAGTGAATCTGTGAGTGAACTAACTACCGTAAATTGAATGCAAGGGCCAATCAGAGGTGCTCAAGAAATCAACAGATGTCTATGGTTAGCTACATTGCTCAATGCTACAAAAACACGCTGTAAATAGAAACTTTTGACGCTCTCCAGAGTGCACTCATACGCACTGGAAAGGTTGCCAAATCTGTTTCACCAATATCTTATTAGAGTTTAAACTAAGGGTGTTCTTGCTTTCATTTGAGGGTACTTTTCAATGCGTGAGAAAATGGATGTGTGGCTTGAGACTTGGCATTTTGATATTAGCATTCGTATATTGCATCTGTTGCTTGCGGTTCTATTGAGCACCTTAGGAAAAAGATAAAAAGTTGCACCGATTACACTTTACACCGGGTTCAGCATTGATACAAGATTATCTTTATTATAACACAAGGGCTAACAGAGAAATACAACATTTGGTCCATTAAAGAAAATAAAGAAAAACAAGATTGTAAGATATTAAAAATCAAAGCAAATGCATGACTTCAGGAAAACAACGAAATGTAGTTAAAACTTAAACTACCCAGAATGTTAAAGGAACACTCCACTTTTTTTTTGAAAATAGGCTCATTTTCCAACTCCCCTAGAGATAAACAGTTAAACAGAGTTTTACCATTTTCGAATCCATTCAGCCGATCTCCGGGTCTGGCGGTAGCACTTTTAGCTGTAGCTTAGCATAGATCATTGAATCTGATTAGACCATTAGCATCTCGCTCAAAAATGACCAAAGTGTTTCGATATTTTTCCCCATTTAAAACTTGACTCTTCTGTAGTTACATCGTGTACTAAGACCGACGGAAAATGAAAAGTTGCGATTTTCT